GAAATGAAATAGCAAACTTCTGATAAACGTTTCATTAAATATTTTGTTTTTTTCTGATTCTTTATTATCATTCCCGTTTTCTAAGTGATTTTTCTTATTTTAGTTTATACTCTAATTATGAGAATATTTTCAAGAATTTTGAATATTCACTGACCGGAAATACTCAACTCAAAGAGTTAGATTAGATTTTTGATAATATTTTAATTATGTGAATTTCTCGCTAGTCTTCAGTCTTACCTTCTGCTGAGAGTTTCTACATCAAAGTTAGCTTAACTTTTTATTGAGGATTATCATTATGCTTCTCTCAAAAACTTGTCTACTTATCTGCAATTGTAAATTTCTCCATGTGTATAGTTACATTCTCTTTTATCTACATATATATTCATATATATAAGTCAATCGCATAAGCGGCTTGTTTGCATTACTTAGTAAGAAGGAAAACAAAACAACAAAAGTAAATAAAACAAAAAAATGCATGAAATTCTCACAGACTCGTGTTAATGAATCCGCTTACAAGGCATACATTTTGTAACATTGGATTTCTGCTGCTGCTTATTGTAAGCCCAACAACAAATGCTCAACTTTCAAGTCAGCTTTGATTTTCACAATACGACTAGGCTGCCGATAAATACAATTTCAACGTAAAATACAATATTTGTAATATTTATTTTTAGTTTCTCAGTTGTGATTCTTTGTGTTGCTTAATCGTCGCTCTCTGTTCTATTCTAATCTATCTATTTCCCAAGTTGACCTTGTTCAAATTTATGGCTACTTTTCATGCCCAGCCATATTTTGATTGTTGTCTCTGTTTTTATCTAGAAACCAACACGTTGTTGTCTCACTTCCCCCTGCCATGCCCTGCTCTGCCCTGCCTAGCCCCAAAAACAAGCAATTAGTGCTCGTTGTGTAGTTTTTGGGCAGTTTCTGTTTGCTTTTTACTTTGGTCTTTTGTTGTCAACATTTTATGCCTTCCTTCCAATTTGAGTTAAGCTCTCTGGTCTTAGGACAGCCTCTAATGGCATTTGCTCTGGCTTTATGTGGTCTGACCACTGATATTGGAAATATGTCGAGCCGCGCATAAATTGATTAAAAATCTGTTTGACAATGCTTGGCTGACAGTTGGAGAGACGCACTCATGTGAAAAACTAGAAAACTTTTGGTCAATGTCGTTGGCAAAATCTTTAAATTGAATGGAAAGAGAACATTTTGATTTGTATTTATGATATGCTAAAATATTTATCAAACATTTCGAAAATGATGACGATGATTATGATTATAATAATGCTAATGCAGAGACTCAAACTTTATTGTCTATGGAATAAAGTTGAAGGTCAACTTATTAAGAGATGTTTGATTTGGGAAGGCGAGAAAAACTTAATTTTATATGTAAAAAGAAAAAAACGACTATTTAAAATGAGGCGAATATTAATTAATAGATTGTTCCGATTAAAGCTATATGGTACAGTAGTTTAATCTTGATTTTGTCTGCATAAAAAATCATAATAAAAGCCATATTTTCGTAAATTAAAAAGTGTTTCTTACTCGGCTAATGTTACAGATCTATAATATATATATTTTATGGACTCCTTCAGTGCGTTCCAAACTGCACAACGAAATGCAAACACTCTTTGCACAGTGTACCTCAAATTTGTACAAAAATCAATTGTTGCCTCTTGATTTATGAATACTTTATGAAATACTTGAAAAAAACAATAAAATATATTTCATGTCTTAACTGTCCAGCCTAGTTATCAAATTGCAGTCAAAGTGCATGCATCTTTGTCTAGGCTTTTGTCACTTGGGTTATCTCATCCAAGTTGAAGGTCAACGCTTCCAATATTAGCTCACTTTATTTTTGAGTCGTAAACAAAATGTGAAATACACAATTGTGTGTCATCAGCGTGTTGTGTTGTTTTCAAAGCATGGGATTAGCATAACTAATATTTATACTACACAGTATATACTTGTAAATGATCTCATAAGATCGTGTTGATTAAAGCTAACTGTTCTCTTGGCAATTAGAATCCTCCACATGTGGAGCGAAAAATAAAAAAGCAACCATAAATTCACCACTCAAAAGAATTCAAACAATAAATAAATACAATAAATATTCAGTGATATGTGAAATTCCAAGCGAATAAATCAAATAGTAATAACAAATTTGAAGGCTTCATTTCAGCTGATAATATCTTCAACATGTTTCGCATAAGTGCGCAAAATAAATAAGACTGAAACTTTTGCATGACTTGACGCTAAATCCGCAAAATACGCAGATACACAAATACACAGTTGCAGATACGTAGATACACAGATACATAGATACATAGATACATAGATACAGAGCTTGGGCGTTTTTCACACACTCCACAAAAGGCAAAGGCAACAAAAAAATAGCACAGCACACTTCAAGATACATTCACACCCAACCCATTCACAATTCACAGTAGTTAACTTTATTTATTTATTTTTTTCTTGTCTGAGAAATCTTCTCGCTAAATATGACAAAATACACACTCCCACACTCGCATATGTGTGTAATTTTGTAACTGTTTTTGTAATTGGGCGGCTGCTTTGCTTTGTGTTTGTTGTATTCTTGTGGTTTTTCAATTGTTGAACAAAACAAAAATAACAAAACAACAAATCAATATTTAGCATTGAATAATTGCATGTCAAGTTGGATACACAGCTCAAAAAGTTGATGGATTATTGTCCATTAAAGCTAGATAATTTAGATAATTTTCATTTGTGTTAATCATCATCAAATAGCGCTATTGTCAAACTTCTTATTGATGGCCAATTAGTTAAATGGAAAAACATATTTATTTAGTTTTTGTCTTTTGCTATTCTCTATTTGATTTATTTATTAAATATTAGCAAAAGAAAAATGACTACAAGCTAGCAAAAACACTCTTCTGCTTTATCTATCAAAATTTGTTGATGTAATGTTAATGTTAATGTGTAATTTTGTAGATATTAATAAATATTATAAAATATTTGGTAAATCATTTTAGAGAAATTATATTCTCTACATTGCTAGCTCAACTCTACTCTTGATCAATTATATACATTTTACAAATTTTGTAATGTGTTCAGTGTATAAAAACACAACAAAGATTGAGCAATATTTTAACAGCAAAATGCAACGCATTAAATGAGTTAAAAAAAATAAATAAAAACGATTTTATCTAATGAATTTTGATGGCGTTTAAATAAATAAAAAGTGCATAACTCGTTATCGCTCAGACAAAACAAAGAGAGAGATAGAAAAAGAGGGAGCCAGCGGTGTAGAGGGAGATAACAAGATTTGTGCCATAAGCTCGTCAAAGATTTTGCTGCTAATTTGCGGTCGTTGTTGTTGTTGTTTTTTATATAGTTATTGCTATTGCGGTTGCTCATTGAATCCATCTGTTATTGTGTTTACAAATTTTTTCCAACTATTTTTGATGTTGCAATTCTGTAGTTGAAATAAATTTCACATACAATAATAATAAAATATTAAAATCAAAAGTAAGCGAAGGTCTCTTCGCAATTAAATTAATTGAGCATTTGCTCAGCTTTTTTTTCAGCTGTTTTTCTTTGGCACAACTAAAACCAAAAACAAAAAAAAATAAACACGAACAACAATAAAGTCAAAGTTCAGTGGAATTATTTTTTGCGATTTCAATTCAACACTCTCTCTCTCTATCTCTCTCTTATTGCTACTTCCCTTAATTTGTTGTCTGTATTTTTATTAATTAGTATAATGCACATAAACGCCCCCTTTCGGCCGGAACGGGAAACACTCGCTTCACATGACAAAACAAATGTTTGCGGGGCTAAAATGTAGTATTTTTTTTTGAATGACACAAAACAAAATTTCTGTGAAATTAAGCACAACGCACACATACGCAAAATAATCCCGCTCCCTTCCCAAAAACCCCCATCAACCCCCCCCGGAACCCAGCCTAATTTATGCTTAAGTGCTAGGCGCCAGGCGAGGTCGAGGGGTGGGGCTGCAACCCAGACAAATGATGTTTAATACACACGACACGGGTCCAATAAATTGTACTAAAAGTTGACATCGCTTTTTGCTTCACTTGGCTTGGCTTGGCTCTGCTCACTTCTCACTCTGCTCGCTTCTCTCGTAAATAGTTGAATTTGACTTTGGGGTCACACAACTTTTGCTTAACTAGATTGTGTGTGGAGAGAGACCAAATGTGTTGGACCTGTTGTTTCTCTTCCTCATAGTGAAGTCTATTTGTCAGGGCCAGAGTGACTACTAATTTGTTGATGTTTGACATTCAGATAGATGTTTGCATGAAAGTTGCACACACATCTCAGAACAAATTGCATGACATCAGATCAACTGGCTAAATAATTAAAACTACTATTGCTATCAGGAGAGTTTTTGGCTATTTAACTAAGGTAAAACTAAACAGGATGCTGATTAATAATATGTCAGGGTCTATTTATATATGTATATATAATATGTATTATATAGAAAGATATCATTAATATATATTTTTAATCGTTCTTCCCCCATTCAAATGCTTATCAATAATATACAATTCCAACCAAGAGCGATTCATTAATTAAATTAAAAGCAATTATATTTAAATAATCTTTCAGGCTTACAGCCTTCAGCTAATGGTTCCACATTGTAACACAACAATTCAGGCACTTTAATTTATACTCGTCACTGACCCTGAACTCAATTATTTTAATGTACAATCTAGTCGCACCTATATAGACTTTATCGCCGGCAGGTGAACGATGGCCATTAAGACCGAATATTGATAGCCATATAAATGAGGAATGTGGAACACAAGAAACCAATCAATGGACGCAACAATTGATAAGACGTATTCGGCAAAAGCTGATAAGTAGATAAGATTCTTAGTGACAACAACACAAGTTGGGCTCAAAAAAGATGCTCGGTCGTGGAATGGAATGAGAATATCCCAGAGGAGCAAGAATTTTCCCAATTACATATAAAAAAAATAATTAACTGTTTCACTTACCGTTTAATCAACACTGGCTGCAAACGTTTCGCTGCTGCTTTTGCAGTTGTTGTTGTTGTTGGTGTTGTTGCAGTTGGCGAAGTTGGTGACTTGGAGAGACGCGCAAAGACGCTGACGCCGACGCCAACCGAGCCTTTATCCTGTGGCTGCCGCGTTGACGTCGGCCTCGCGCTGCTACTGACGCTGCGCTTTACAACACTGGCTGCAGTAGCAGCAGCAGCAGCAGCAGCCGGCGATCGTCGCACAGTGGGACTAATGCGCGAACTGCCGCCGCTGCTGGATGGTGATGGCGGAGTAACAGCCGCCGATGCACCCGATCCTGCTGCCATGCTGCGCGTTGTAGACACTTTAGATTTCACATCATTGTAATTGGTTTTGATTGTTGATTTATTGCTAGCGATTTTATGCATAACGGCATCCCATTTATTGGGTGTATGCGCTTTGCGAGCGATTGGCGACGCTTTTTGTTTTGTTTTATTTGTCGGGCTTTGTTTAACACTTGTTGGCGTTGTTTTTGTTTTGGGCAACGAGAGCGACGACGTCGTCGAGGAGTTTGACGAAAGCGTTTGTAGATTCTCAACGGTGCTGGTGGCAAGCGACGTTAACGATGCGGATGCAGATGCGAATGCGTGTGGACGCGGCGACGCTGCACGCTGTACTACTGAAGCCGTCACTGAAAGCGTCGACGATCGCTGCTGTTGCTGTTGCTGCTGCTGCTGCGAAGAGCCGCTGCTCGGCGTCGTCATCGTCGTCGATTCGTTAAAAGCTTCGTCGCAAAAGCTTTTGGCGCTGCCGCCATCGACGCTGCAATACGAAGTGCGATTCGAGAGCGTCGTTGCGGCCGACGATGAAGAGAGCGGTCGTTGTTGCTGCGAGTGTGAGTGAGAGAGAGACTGCGACTGAGACTGAGAGTGCTGTTGCTCTTTTTGCGCTTGACCTTGATGCTTGCGCATCGTTTGTGTGGAATCGTCGGGCGACAAATCCATTTCTACTTCCATTTCTCCCTCGATTTCCGCCTCCATTTCCGCATCCAGTTCCAGTTCGGGCAGACGCAATTCTTCGTCACAGCGATTCTCGACGTCGGTGAATATGCCCGAGGACTCCATGCACGAATCCTCCAGCTGCGGCACCGAGGCACTCGGCTGCATTGTCGGCCCGTACAGCTGGCCATCGATGACCTGGGCACGTCGATCGCCTCGCTGCAGCACATCATCCGCATCGGATTCGGTAAAGAAATCGGAATCGGTCATCGGATCCTGTCGACGCATAGGTGCTGCTCCTCCAGCTGCTGCGGCCGGCAATGGTGGAAAACTTGGCTGTCGACTGACGCGACCCAAATGTGGTCCATTGCTTGGCGAATGATCGCAGGCGGCGCCACGTGAGGCGGGACGCGACATTTCGCCATCGCCTTGGTAGCCAGTGTCCAGGCTGGTCACACTGGTTACGCTGGTAATGAAACTGTTGCTCAGCTTGGGATTCGTTTGCGGATTGGCGACGCTTGTTGCAATTGCACTTGCTGCTATGGGAGCAACTGCAGCAGCTGCAGCAGCAGCAGCAGCAGCAACTGCAGCTGGTGCCGCCAAATCAATCAATAGCTGCGGCTCTATGGGATCCAGTGGCAGCTCCTCCGGCGATGGGGTCTGCTCCAGACGCAGCTGTTGTTGCAGCTGCAAGTGCTGTTGTTGTTGCAAGTGTTGCTGCTGCTGCTGTTGTTGTTGCACATGTTGTTGCTGCTGCTGCTGTTGTTGTTGTTGTTGCTGGGCAGCAGCGAGCAACTCCAGCTGATGGTTGAAATTGGGATTAGAATTGGGCTGCTGCTGTGAGGACGAGTCGAGGAACTCCTTCATTTGATCGGGCGTCAAAATGCCCAAACTCTCATCCAAATCGAAACTGTGCTGCTTCTTCAGCAACTGTTGCTGTTGCAACTGCAACAATTGTTGCTGCGAACTCGAACACGAATTGTTCACCAGCTCAATGGACAAATCCAACGAACTATCCGGCAAATCCAGACCAAAACTATAGCGTTGTTGCTGTTGCCGCTTGAGTGCGGCATCCATGTGGAGCTGCGTGTCGCCATCGGGTGTCCTTGTGGGCAGGACGAGATCACTGCGCGCTGACTTCAGCAGCGGGGAGAGCAAATGCACTGGAACGGGCGTCTGCTGGTGGTAACAACGTGCTCCATGCGGCGTTGTCGTTGCCGACTGCGGCGTCAGATTCAACAGCGAATGTTGGGCAGCCATCGATCGTCGCGTTCCCGACAAACGCTGTTGTTGTTGTTGCGGCGACTGTTCCAGCAACTCCCGTGTCAGATTCAACAGTTGTATATGCTGTGCCGGCGACTGGATGCCACTCAAGTCCAGCAATCTTTCCGTATTTAGTGTTGAGTTCAGCGGCAGCTTCATGTGACTCTTGTCCGGCGCCAGCGCCGTTAGTGTCACATCCAATTCATCGGATTCGGGTGGCAATTCCAGGCCGGAGGGCATCGACATGTGCTCCAGCAGCGGCAACTGATCCATGCTCTTGGTCAGGTCCAGGGTCTGCTGCAGACTCATCGGCTTATTAATTTCGTGCGTTAGGGTCTCATTTAAATTGACGTTGGTTTTGTCTTTCGCTGAGATATAAGTGGCATCCATGGGATCTGCTTGGTCAGCGCTGGGCGAGGGAATTACGGGTCGCGTGCGATCCGCTCGAGAGTCACACAAGATTTGGGTGGCATCCATTGGCTGCTGCGTTGACTTGCAGCAGCTGGCAGAGATGACAAGATGAGTGCGATCCTTGCGAATGCCGCTGACATCGGTCACGATTTGTGTGGCATCCGCCGCTAATCCTTGAGGACTCATCAGCTGCTCCTGCTCCAGCTGCTGCTGCTTATCCGGTGAGTCAAGAATAGGACGCGTGCGGTTTAAGTCAACGGTTGTTGCATCCATATCCACGGTGCGTCTAAGGCCAATGCAGGAGAGCCGGGTATGCTCCAGTTGCCCAAGATGTGGAGACGATTGCTCCTCCAGCTCCTGCTGTTGATGCTTGTGCTTCTCCTCGTCGCAGACAAAGGTCTCGGACCGCATCAGGGACATGGGTGTGCTGCTGGTCAACTGTTTGGGCGCTGGCAGCGGTGTTTGTGGCAGCGAACTGGTCATCAACTTGGAGGCAGTTACTCCACCCACCGCTGCTACTACTGGAGCTGTCAACTTGCTCGGATTAAAGTACTTTTTGAAGACGCTGCTCGTCCACTTTGCCTTCACATGCCCCCCAGCATTACTTAGCGGCTCGCCGGAAGCGCTCTTCTTGATGCTGGCCTCCACGTCGTGCAGCGGCGCCGCCGTTGGATGATAGGAGCTGATTGGACGCGATGATTTATTATTGTTGCTGCTGGTGGGCAATGCGGGCTTGCGAAAGATTTGTGTGCTGCTTTTTGTTGCAACGGGTGGGCGTATGTGGGAGGTGGAGGTGGTGGAGGAGCCGCCCCAACCGAAACTGCCAGGCGCTGGTATCCGTGAGATGCCATCCAGGCGCGAAATGCGCGACGCTGTCGAATCCTGCAAGAGAGCAAGCGAAAAATAAATAAATAAATTGTCGAAATTTTTGTGACCTTATTGAGGCAACCACAGAAAAAATGGCATACCGAAGATTGGAGACCCTTGCAGACCTATTGGCAAGTCTCATTATCAATGGGAGCTATATGATATGCTGATTTGTATAAATTAGATATTTATGTATAATTATAATACACATTATTTAAAATTATAATTACTCAAATTATAATAAAACAAACTTCAATTTAAATATGTATTCAATTTAATTTAAATATTAAAAAGTCATATAACATCCTAAGAACATAATATATGCATAAAATCTGAAGCAAATCTATACTTTATATATATTGTAATTAACATTTTAACAGTGCACACCAAAAATGTAATCAACGGCAAATTTCTGTTATCTGTTTATCTGCTTGGCGAGAAGAGTATAAAAATCCGTAAAAATGACTCAACAGATTGCGACAGCTGTCGCCTGACCTAAGACTTAAGACCCAAGACCCAAGACCCACTGCTCACCCCACCACCTCCAACCTATCCCCCTTCTATCCGTTGTTAAAAAAGTGCGTAGTTATTTTTCACCCTGACGCCAACTGGTCTGATCTACTCATCCTCTCAAGCTCTGCCCTCGGCGCACGTGCTGAGACTTTGTTTTTTTTTGGCAGGCGCCACCCTGGAATGTAGTTCATTGGGGCGTTTTCACTTGGCACCAGTTCAACGCACTTTAAAACAGGGTAACTAAAAGCGAGGATGGCGCTAGAGAAGGGTGGCTCTGATGTCATCATCAGAGTATGCAGTTAAAGGAGAGGTCACATCATTTGCATACCCCTTAGCTAAGCTTCTTTTAAGGGGTATATTGAAAACAATTAATTGGCCATATTTTTGTTTAATATATTCTGTAATATTGTATATAATAATATACTAATATTATTTTATCCATTTTAACTTTTCTAAGATGTCTTTTCATTATAACTGGGTATCTAATTAGTCAACCATTCTTTCATTTTGTCAACCCGCTTTTCTGTGGGGTGGTTTACTGACAAGCTAAAGCATAGAGCTAATTGCAGTCAAATATAATTAAATAGGGGGCGAGTTTTCCAACTGCTTTGCGCTGTTCTTTATGAAATTCGACGTGACTCGACTGATATCCAGATAATGCCTACTATATATATGCTATCATATAATTATTTGATTGCAATTAGAGCAGAGAGTGCCGTAATGAAGCAAGTGTGCGTGTGTGTGGATGAATGCTAATTATATTAGAAGAGTTATGTAGTTTGTGGTTAAGAAAAGTTTTAATCGCCATGAAAATATATGATTTGGGTTCCCACTGAGAAAGTTCAGCTGTTATTTTATATAATTTATTCTCATATTATAGAATGTATGTATTAAAATAAAACCTATGCAAAGTTTCAACCTAAATTCTTTTTTAACTAAATCTTCAAACCTATTTTTCTATTTAGAATTCACAAGTTGTTTTAGCAAGTTTCGTTTTAAGTTTTAACTTCTTTAAAAACTAGAATTCCCAAGTTGGCTTAGCAAACATAAAGCTTATTTTATGAAGTCAAGAAATTATAACTTGTATTCAAATTCTATATATTTCTAAAGTAATAACTATCTACTGACTATCTAGTTGCAACTTAACTTTTTATACACCTTTTAACTTTCTTCTTCATGTATTTTTTCTTAGTATTTCCAAGTTGCTTTTGTAAACACTAACTTAACAAATTTAATGCCCTAACAGTAGAGTATGCACAGGCAAACAGAAACTTTGCAGGCCTTATCGCTTTTGGGCCGACAAGAAAAGTTTTGGCCACACAGCTCCTGCGACTGAATACAAGCCGCATTATTAAATGTACACACCCAAATGCAGTTTACATAGCTGCCTTAATCGAAAATGCAATATTGAGCGCACAGACAAGTTAAACAAGCAACTCCCACAACCAACCCAACCACCCCACCTCAACCCCTTGGTGGAAACCCAACGCAAATGTCCTTGAACATTTTTTGAGCTGCCATAGAAAACGTGAAAAAGTTTTGCAGTGAAACTCAGCTTGCCACACACAGGATCCACATTCGCATTCAGCTCAATGATTGTTATCACGCTGCACAAAGTTCGCGCATGCGAAACGGGGGGCGTAGCGGGTCTAAGTGGGGTTGTGGTAAACAGCCACAGGAGGTGGGTCTCAAATTGCTCATTTCGCTTACAAGTCAGCAGACAAGCATATGTGCCCCATAATTATTGCAACATGACACGCAGCATGGGCACTCTGCTCGAGGTTCATAAAATGTCATCGATAAGAGCCTCGCGGGAATTGCCATAATGAAGGATTTCTCTCATTATTTTACACAGGCAGAAGAGATAAATGTATAGACATATATATATATATATAACCCACAGGGCGACTGTGCAAGGCTATTATAAATTTCTGATTAATCTGTGCATTTTTAAGCAGCTGTCTGGCAATGGATATGTTTTTTAATTGCATGGCGTAAGGTCAATTTCAGTGTTATTAAACTCAAAGTAAAACTCTAGAAATAAATAAGTTATATTCTTAATTTTGTATATTAAAATACTTTGCATGATAAGGAACAAGTGAAAATTATGCAGTCGAAATAATTTTAAAGCAGTGTAAAACCAGTTGATAGCATGTGGCAAAAGGCCTGCTTTGTGGATATTGTTGTTTAGAGAATCCAGTTAGATATACAGAAAAGTTTTATTCCTTTGTGGCGCAATCAAAATATGTAATTAGTTCTACGACCGACAAAGTTTAGCTGTTATTTTATGTTATTTATACTTAGAAAATGTACATTCATGTTTTATATTTAGTCAAGTAAAAACTTTATAGACAGCAGTGAGTTGGCGCGCCTCGACAATTGAAAAATCGATTTCGACTTTTTAAGTTTTAAGACTTTACCTTTACAAATATAACATTTGTAATTTTTTGAAGGTTAAAGCATTTTCAAATGGAATTATTGAAATCTACCTAGAAATTTTGGCAATTATAGTTCTTGCCGATCTTTGTAGGACATCACCAGCAATCAACGAAGCAAGTTTGGTTGCTCAAAATCAATAGACTCTTCTTTTCTTGCATAATACACCAATTCTTTATTCTGCGCAATAATCCAGAATCCAATTGAATTGCATACTTTGAAGCAACGCTCAA